TTTCACACACAGCTGGGGATGCAGAGCTGATAGTTTTTTTTTCTCTCTGCGTGCCTTCCATTTGTAGTTCACACACAAAGGAAAAGAACAAAAACAGATTGCAGTTACTGAGATTTAGAAACAAATGCACAATCTGTTGTAAAATAGGTCCTGATTGCATACCAAGACCCAGAAAAGAGAAATTAAAATCTATGCCTTAATTAATTTTTCCATTTATTTCATTGCATTATAGTTGTAATAATCACTCATCAGAGGTCATCACAAGTCCTCTGAAGGCCATCACAATTCCCAGAATTTAGTTTAACTGTTGTCGTACGTTGCAGTGTTACAGCCCTTAAAGCAATGTGACCATTTGGCCATAATTCCTATGCCAGGTGTGGTCTTAATTTCACAAGAGAGCTCTGTTCCAGAGAGCAGCGCAGTATTTAGCTGTTAACCAGTCCAGTTGTAATTCAGGGAGAAGGCAATGGAACGTGAGTCTTTGATAGTGAGGGTGCTGAAAAGCTCAGCTTGGCTATTGTGCAGCTTTAATTAATGAGAGTAACAGTATCACACTAGCCTTTTGTTCTTGTGCTGTTAAACACAGGCCTGCTGTGCTTTACTTACGTACTACAATAATAGCCTGTATTGCGTGTGTTCAGTAGCGATGTTTCACTTGGCACTTCATCTCAATGGCACTGTACAATAAAGTCAAGCACTAGATAAATGTATATGACTTAAAATTGTTAATTGAACAGAATTTTTGAAAGTGCTGGCTGACTTTCAGTGTCTAACATGAGCTGGGAGATCATTGCAGTCTCGTGGAGCAACAGAGCAGAGAGCAGGGTCTCCCAGGGTTCGGAGTCTCGTACTGGGATCTGAAAGAAAACGGGCAAAAGAAACGCCCAGCCGCTGCAAGTTTGCTGTCAGTGTTGTTTAATGGCATAGCTGTCGATTTCTGAATCATTTATTTGCATCAATAACAGAACTGCCAAAGAGAGCCAGAGAGCAGGACTGGGAGGAAGAAAATGGCACATCTCAATAGAGCATGACCCAGTTACCTCTTGTGTGCAGCCTTTAATTTCTTACGTTCTTCCTCGTGCCTCACAATAAGTGCCTCAGCCTGTCTGCAGTTTGCTTTGGCCTGTGTTTTGCTCTAATCCAGGCGTGTCTGTGATGTAAGGCCATGTGAACCAGGAGTGTACCCAAAATGCAACAATGCATAAGCGTTAATCCGATTTTGTTTTCCCATCAGGTTTTATAACCTGGAAGCGTGTACCTAACTCTGAAATGGGGAGTAAATACCATCCATCTACTGTTCAGTGCCTAAAATCATGTATTTCATCTAATGCTGGACAAACGTTTTGTTCAGTTTATTTAGGTAGAAATAAATACACTTCTAGTGTTGTCTGTTTTGTAGTGTCGCATCATTAAAGTCCTGACCCTTTATTATCTTACATAAAATGTTTTGGTTTCGTTCTCTTTGACATTTATATATTTTAGAAGTCTCCCTTTCAAGTACGTACAGTAAGAGGCTTCCGCAGGTGTATAAGATTCTTAGTAGCATGGACTAGTCTAAGTGCTCTCTCTTTCCCTTACTCCTGAAGCGAGTCTGCACTGGTGTATGGTATGTAACCTTTCCCCCACTTTTCCTGGCTCCTCCCCTCACCCTCCCTCTCTCTGTCTCTGTGGCCAGACACATCGACATTGACGCTGGCTCCTGCTCTTCACCCAGGGAACAATAACATGAGCTGCTTTATTACAGAACAGCCCTCTGCACCACAGAGCTGTGTGCTATCGGAGCTCCTCAAGGTTTGGAAAGAATAGGGCCTTATCGTAACACAGGCACAGTCCTTCTTAATCCTCCAAACAGGTTCATTCTTATCTTTTTGTGCTTAACATCCTTTGAGCTGAAAGTCCATTCAGGCAACAGGGCCAGTAGCTGAACTTGACCACAGTGGGCAGCTGTTGTGGAGCTTAGTTAAGTTGAGTTGAATGACTAATTAAAATAATTCATGCTACAGCAAGAACCCACTTCTTGCAAACTTCTTTCGTAACTCTTGGCAAATTCTCAAATTCCATCGTAAGTTTGAGGACATGTACTTTCAAATACTCTATTTTGAAGCTGGAGAAACTAAAATAAAGCTATTGAAAGTTTTAAAGCTGTCATCAAAGCTTTTTTAAAAAATTGAAATTGAAACCTCAAAAACCCAGACTATCAGTGAATCTGTTTCAACTTCATAATGTATGTATTATAATAATAATAGTAATAATAATAATAACATCACTTTATTAACCCTTTACAATTTAGTGCATTAGGAATTTGTCTTTTTGCATACCCCAGCTTGCTCTCCATGATACACACAGACAGGAAGAGAAGCTTGGGGTCAGAGCGCAGGGTCTGCCATTGTACGGCACCCCTGGAGCAGGTGGGGTTAAGGGCCTTTGCTTTGGAGCCCAGCGGAGTAGGATTTCTCTGCCGGCTGCGGGATTTGAACTGGCAAGCTTCCAGCCCCAGGCGCAGATCCTTAGCCACAGAGCCACCGCTCCACCCATTATAAACCTCTCGTATAGAAAATTAAAATCGGTATAAATAGTTTTTAAAATAAAATAGTTTAAAAAATATATTATTTTCACCTTTGTTTTCCCAAATTATTCTTATCCTTTGCCACCCTGCTTCTCACAGGAAAAAAAATCTCATGATGTAACCCGATTATAATTACACACTCTTCCTTTCTTGGCTGGAACATTGGCCAAAAACTGCTTAGTAAAAGGACAAAATAAGACTGACTCATCCCTGCATTTACATATCAGGATCTTAGAGTGGTCACCTTTAACACCGTATTGTTGGGTAACTTTGTCTTGCACTGTAGCTCTTTTAGCTTTAAAAGCTGGGTTTCATTTCTGAACCAGTTCTCAAAGCTAAAATCATTGTTTTCAAAAATATTGCAGGGCATACTGTACAGGAAAAAAACCTGGTCTGGTTCTAAAGAGCCAGAGTCCAGTGGGTTTTATGGATCACCCTTGTATTCTCATTTCAATGGGTTTTGGCAGCAGAGCAAGGTAGGGCCTAGTCAGTACCAGGATGAGAGATGTCTAAGGCAAGTGGTGTTGGTAGGTGGTGCTTTTTTGTTTGGACCAAATAAATGTTTATTAACCCCAAAGTTCTTGCTAAATACCACTTTGAGTTTGTGGTCTGGCTTTCTTAAATTCAGCTTTAGTTCAGCAGGGGACGCAATTTCATCTGTTCTACTGTGTCATGTGGCAGCTGGTGCACAATAGCTCCCATGTGTCACTCAAGTGGACAACGCACTTCTGTGTGAGACGATGAACGCTACAGCAAAGCATACGGTTAACTAAGCTGTTTTCTTAGTAAGACTTCATGCAGAAGCACTTTTTACACTTCTCTCTTTAGTTCTAGGACTGATAATGTGAACTGTTTGTGTTGAGCTCTTAGACATGTTGGTGGCTGCCTTATAACTACTGCATTTCGTTAGTAAAATCAGTCGGGTCAATCCATCACCAGGATTGGGAACCCCTGTCCTACGCTACTACGAAGAACTGGCTAGCAGAGGCACTGCTGAATTTTCAAAAGCAAACACCAAACTTAAAATACATACAGTATTCACTTCCAAGTGTTTCATATGTCAGCTGGGTATCACCTGGGCCTTGTTTCTGTCATTTTTGTGTTCCTTCTGCAGTTCCTGTGGGCTACTTTTTATTGGCATCTTTTCTTTGCAAGGAGAAATTCCCACAGTAAATTTTGCGATCTGCCTTACAGCTCGCGAGTCCTCCACTGCCTCCTATTCAGGGAAGCCTGTGAAGTCTGAGGGTTTTTGGAGAAGTGCCTGAGGTGGCAAGAAGCCGCTTGAGAGCGCTGGAAAAACCTTTCGCCCCGTTAGATAGGCATTCTGTCTCTGAGTCACAACTCGCATGGAGTCTGTGTAGCGGTGAAAACAGACTAAAGCGCTGGCCTTCCACAGGGGGAACTGCAAGCACTGCGATTTCTAAATATCCACAGTAGATAAAACTCAACCTTGTCTCAAAACTTTTTTTTCTTTTTATATAGCAAAAACAAGGATGCTCACTAAATTGTCAGCGTTGTGGACAGCTGTGTAGTATGCCACGCGTAATGCTTCAATCATGACTGATCATGCAGGCATTCTTTTAAGAAAGTTTAAGAGAATTGTGACACCATGAAGAAAGGCCATCTGTCTGGATGGTATGCATCTCTACTGCCTGTTGCAGAAGTTGCTCAGGGTAATACGGATTTGTGTTTTGCATGGTTGTGAAACCTTCGCGCGCACACTGGGCTCCTTCTGTATTACTGTGTGTTTGTGGGAAATCCCAAAATGTTGAACTGTGGAGTCTGCAGATTCAGTGGGTGAAAGGAGATTGTCCAGTACAGTAAGACTCCCTCACCTTTAGTTTTCACCTCTGGGTCACAGGAGAGTGGGATGCTAAAAACAAGAGTTATGTATTTGTCCACTGGACTGATCACAATAACCAGCCTTGGCTTGAAAATAGTGCATTTGCGACAGAGGATAAACACAGGCACCATTAACTGACCTCACATATGCAAAACTAGAAGGCAGACATTTCACCACAGTAAGAAAACTGGGCTTCTACTGTCTCTTGAGGATGATCATTTAAATACAGCTGTGGTCTGTAATATTTCTAAAGAGGAATTCTTCCCTTAGATAATGTTCTTTAATCTCCTTGGCAGAAAACAAGTGGCTCAGTTTGATAGGGATTGTTTGAATTAGGTTTCTGTGCCTCGGGCAAATTGAAGAAATTATGTATTCCTACTTGGAGGGACATATTTACTCATTCTTTTACATTTCCCCAAATTTGATTAAATATGCGGCCTATGAATGATACTCCCTAGCATTTTGAATTAAATTTGCAGCCCTGGACAACAAACGATGCATGTGACAAATTAAATATTTCCCATCCACTCCCAATAATTACAGTATTTGCAGTTGTTATGTCTGCTTCACATGTTTTCTCTCCTTCATTAGATCGTCTCTTCTATATCTACACCTCGGGCACAACTGGGCTTCCCAAAGCTGCTATTGTAGTTCACAGCAGGTGAGTGATAGTCCATTTCTACAAGATCTTTGTCTCAGTTCAGCTGATACAGGTCCCCCTATTTGGTCCATTCTCATTCATTTCTGAAATCAACTAGATATCTGAAGAAAGGTTCAGGAAACATTTTGAAAAATCACTCCTTTTAAAGAATTTAATCCTACAAAAGAAGACCGTTTTTGTAAAATAAGGATGTCCATGTGAAAAACAAATGAGAAACTTTGCTATAAATATAAACTCAGAAATAGCTGACTCTTGATGATCACTTCCACACTTAGGCTAACAGGACGCTTTATCAGATTGCAAGCAGCTGGTGCAGAGTATTGAACCTGCTAGCTAGAGCAATGAACTAGTCAGTATGCTGCTTCCGCACAGAACAATTTGTTGAAGTTGATCTTTATGTTAATGAGTTTGTTGTGCAGCTTGGAGATGAGGTTTAAGTCGAGTTCTTTTTGGTGACATTAGTGTGAATAACTAGTGGCTCAGTGTAGTATGTCTGAGTCATGAACCATCTTCTGTTGGATTTCCACATCTCAGCTGAAATCTTTAAATGTAAAACTTAGCTCTTGGTTTTGTACATCATTGTCTTTGTATAGTTTGTAATTGCAAACTTTCTCATCTTTTGAAAACAAAACTTGTTTTTGGAAGATGAAATTGGCATGCAACATCTGAGATTTTGACTTAAAAACACAGACAAGTTGTCACTGAGTGTGCTATATATTGTTTCACATGTGGCATAGTTAAAGGTTTTGAATGATAGGGTTTTGGAATATTGAATATTTTTATCATGATCAGAGTGCATTCTTGGAATTTCCAAAATCACTGCAGATACCTAAAAAACGACAAAGTTGGATGATCAAGGAAAAAATCTTTCTTGTGCAATCTCTTAATTGAGAAAATTATTTTATTCTTAATTGAGATTATTAAAATTATTATGAGCTTATTAAAAGATAATGTCCCATGGGACATATCGCACAATTACGAAACACACATGATCATTTGACTGTATGAACAACCTTTTACATTGTGTTCTGACAGCACCTAGAACCTACCGATACCACTCAGCTGGAACTGTGGGTTAAGTGTTTGTGACAATGTCCAGCGCTACAGAACGTACAACAACAGACTTTCGACTGGGGTTTAGTCATAATGAAATGTTACAATTTGAACACAATCATTATAAGCATGAGGATACACACACTTATCCTTAAACAAGAAAGAGTGGACTGTGCTGTCAATTCTACCGCTTAAACTGAAACTCAACTAATGATCATTCTAGATGATCATTGTATGACAATTATGCTATTGTGTGATTATCACATAAAGTATGTGTGAATGTACTATCTAGTAATAATGAGATATTTTATCGTAATTATGAGATAGCACATGATTTTTTTCCTTGATGGCAGCAATGTGCTTCCAGACCTCTAAAACTTTTTGCTTCTGCTTAACCTAAACTGGATCCAGGTAATTTTCCACAACAACATGTCTCTTTCTGTTTCGCACCTTTATGCACGACATTGCTCTGTGTTTCCACGGCAGGTATTACCGCATTGCAGCATTTGGGTACCATGCATTTGGAATGCGGCCAGATGACATCGTCTATGACTGCCTCCCCCTCTACCACTCTGCAGGTACAGCTGAGTCTGTTTGTCAGACTGTAAGCGTGCAGCAGTGACAACAGTAATGAATGCTGGGTATTGGCCTTTACTACAACAGTAGCTGGGCTTGAGCTGTATGATCTGGCTCTAAACCTGAAGCTGCTGAGCCTGATCACCTCTTCTCTCCCCCCTTCGCTGCAGGTAACATCATGGGAGTGGGCCAGTGCCTGGTCAACGGCCTCACCGTGGTCATTAAAAAGAAGTTCTCGGCCAGCCGCTTCTGGGACGACTGTGTCAAGTACAATTGCACGGTGTGGACCTCCTGTGGAATTTCACTGTAGCATTCTGATCTTCTTTCCTTATACCACTTTCGGCATTTTTTGCCCCGCTGTCTGTGCAGAACAGGTTGGATGGGCTGCTAGCCTGGTGCTGGGCAGGCCTCCAGCCTTTTCTTCTGGAGACTGACGCATTCAGGCCAAACTGCCTTGCTCCAGTTTACAGTGAAATGCACACTGTATCAAGGATCCTTGATCTTGACAGCATAGTGGGGACCTTTTTGCACATAACCCAGATGAAAAGTAAAGGTTCAGGAAGACTCCTGCCTCTGTGTATGTTCAGAAAAAAGCAGAAGGAACTCAGTAGCTTGCCTCAACACAGTACATTAACTAGCATGCGATCCTCCTCTCCAATCTACATACAGTCTATTGACGTTACTGTACAATAACACTGCTAACACACCACTTGTATGCTTGCAGCCAATGAACTACTGTCTTGTAATCCACCATGTGAACATTTATTACATGCAGTTAGCACATATAGTTTCCAGCAACAGGTAAACTAGCAGTCTCTGAATTGCCTCATTGGTGCCCTCTGGTGGTGATGGACCTGTAATACAGGCCTGGAGTTTGCTGCAAGAAGAGAAATGTCATGGATCAATCCAGCATGGGACGGGAGGGCTTTGTGCGCTAGTTGACTTATACAGCCCGGATGCTGTGTTCTTCCACGTTAGGTAGTGCAGTATATCGGGGAGATCTGCAGGTACCTCTTAAGCCAGCCCAGCCGGGAGGTGGAGAGGCAGCATCGGGTGCGCCTGGCGGTGGGCAACGGCCTGCGGCCCAGCGTGTGGGAAGCCTTCACCCAGCGCTTTAACATCAAGCAGGTGGGCGAGTTCTACGGCGCCACCGAATGCAACTGCAGCATCGCCAACATGGACGGCAAGGTGAGAATAGTGGAGGTGTTCTGGTTCAAGACGGGCCTGGTAGTTCAGTGCTTGTAAAACATCCCAGGTCAGATTGTGGCTTGGGTTTAGTAAATTTAGGAGAATAGAAACTTGCCGGTGGGTAGAAGCTTTCTTCGTGGAGCTTGTTTACCTTGCTAGATGATCAAGTAACTATAATGAAGCCATGAATTAAGCATCATCAATGCTAAATTGAGTGTTAATTTCAGGGAACATAGAAACTTACTAGCGATTATAAATGAGTGGAGCCTATTAGGACTGTCTAGCTCTTTTGTGTGTATTTTCTATATTTAATTGATCCAGTTAATGGATCTCATCCAGATGTTTCCTGAAGGAAACCAGGGCATCGTCTTGGACAGCATGGCTGAATGGCATGTTGCAGTCTCCCACAACCCTTTGTGTAAAGAGGAACCTCCTGTTTTCAATTTTAAATGCACATCCTTATTGGAATCTTAAATTGGGGCCTTTTGTAGTCTTCTTCTCTGTTTAAAGATTTAAAAGATTCATTTCTTCATACCTATCAGAGCAGGACCTTCCTCTGAAACTGCTAATACATATATTTACTCTTTTCTGGATTGATTCTACTAGAGCTGTGATCTCTTTAGTTTATGTACCTTTGTGACTAAAATTGCACCCAGTAATTGAAATGAGGTCTTCCAGTGGTGCATTATGCAATTTCGGCATAATATCCCTTGATTTAAATTCCACACTGCTAGCTGAATTTTCTAATATTGTTGGCCCTTTTTCATCGCTTCAGAATTGCATGGAAGATAAAAACAATCCATGAACTTAAACGCCTAAGATTTACTCATAAGTATGCTCTTCAAGTTTCTTCCTGATTATATTTATAGTTTGTTTCTGATGCTTTGCAGTAATATTCTGCACATAAAGTACCTACATTAGGTCATCTGCCAGTTATTTGCCCCATCAAGAATTTAGTCTAGGCTCTTTAGAAACCCACACCCCTCCTGTGTGTTGTGCTCCCAGGTGGGGGCGTGTGGGTTTAACAGTCGGATCCTGCCCAACGTGTACCCCATCCGGCTGGTGAAGGTCAACGAGGAGACCATGGAGCTCATTCGGGACCGCAGTGGGCTGTGCGTGTCCTGCAGGCCAGGTGAGAAAGCCGCCACCCGTCCCTCTCGTCTGAGCGCAGGGCTTTCGGGCAAACTGGCTGGAGGTGCCAACGGCTGTGTGTCATTGCAGGTGAGCCGGGGCTCCTGGTGGGACGGATCAACCAGCAGGATCCCCTGCGGAGGTTCGACGGCTACGCCAACGAGTCCGCCAACACCAAGAAGATCGCCTACAACGTCTTCAAGAAGGGCGACTCGGCCTACCTCTCGGGTATCCTGGGCTTCCCCTTTCTCACTGGCCTGTTCATACCGACCTATTAAAAAGCCGATTCGGGTGTTAAATGGGTTACACAAAAAATAACCGTGTTTACTGGCAGCAAACATTTGCCAGTGTACAGTACCCATTCCTGAAATATCAGATCAAATGCATATACAGTGCATATAATATTTTAGTTGTCATACCCAGATATTAGATATATGCATCATTAGTATAGTGTACAGATCAAAGGACAAGTACTGTTTGTTGCCAAAGCCAGCACTCAGGAGTGTTGCTTTATCTTGTAAGTAGAGAGTGATTATCTGGAGTTTCTTGTATAGACTCTCGTTTACTGTTCACCACTACAACATAATACCCAGCCAGATCCATTACTTAATGCATGTGGATGGTGGAAGCCATTCAGCGACACCTTTGCTAATTATAGCATTACTCCCATCATTATTCTCATAATTATTAGCAAACAGACAAAAAAGTGTACAACAGAAGATAGAAAAGAACACGATTTCAAAGTAAAAAAGTGTTTTCTGTTTTTCCATCATTCACATAATGGAATGATAGAGAAAGGAGTTTATGGAACTGGCTGAATTGAAAGTATCTGTACAGTACAAACTCTACGCAAGCTCCGTTTAGCAGAGGATGACGCAGATACGGCTGAGCTCAGGTCTTACCACAAGGCAGCAGGCCTTATAATACTGGCAGAGATGCTTCAATGCCAGCCCAACCTGAGGGCATCTCTCCCCCCCTGCCCCAGGTGACGTGCTGGAGATGGACGAGCTGGGGTACATGTATTTCAAGGACCGCAGCGGGGACACGTTTCGCTGGAGAGGGGAGAACGTCTCCACGACGGAGGTGGAGGGTACCCTCAGCACCATCCTGGGCCAGACGGACGTGGCTGTGTACGGGGTACCTGTGCCAGGTGAGCTTCGAACTCAGCAGGGCCCACCTACTGCCCCGCAAAGTACAAATGTCCTCTTCGGAGTAGCGTGGAGTCAGCTTGAAGGATCAGAGACCAGTCTGTTTGCAGGAGTGCGCCCGCAGGAATTGAAGATGACCAGACATCAGCAAAGAATTGATCAGTTATTGCAAGTATTTAAGTATAGATGACAACGGATTTTAATTATTTATATTTAGGTACAGTTTGTTTTTATTTTGTTCTCAGTGTGGGTATCAAATTGTTATTGGATATTTTAGTTAAAAATGCTTCAACTTTTGTATACTGATATCAAATTGTGACTAAAAGGGTAATAGCAATAATACCTGCTCATTCAAATTTATGTTCAAAATTTAAATCCCTTCTTGAGCCCGAGCACCTCTTTTTACTATTTTAGTACTGCTATCAAGCAAATAATAATGTTATATGTTATATATAATATGCAAATGATCAATTTTACATGCTTGGCAGTCCATCCTGCAGTTTTTCCAGAAACCACAGGAACTGCAGATGTGCAGTAACTACAAACAGGTTTAAGTTTCTTCTTTGCCAAAATCTTTCTGCTTCACTTCCCTTGTTCACCTTTTGGTGATTGGTCAACAGTCTTTGTACATTGCTAGAATTTTGAATATCACTTTTTTTAAAGCTCTAGTGCACTGTTGATCTTGTTAAAATGCTTAGCCATCATGGAGTTTGACCACTCTATAAACCTAGAATATACATTTTCTAAATGCCGTACGTTATGATGGTGTTTATTCAAATAATACTGGAAATTTCAAATCCTGTATTTATTAAATCCACAAAAGGACAGTGATGGGCAGCCAGTGGCGCAGTGGTTATCATTACTGCCTCGCAGTGCTGGGCCCTGGGTTCAGTTCCAGACCTGGGGTGCTCTCTGCGTGAAGTTTTTCTTTTCATCGTGTTCGGATGGTTTTCCTCCCACAGCCCCGACACATTCGTAGGTTAATTGGCTACAGGGAGAATTGCTCCTGGTATGACCGTTTATGTATTTGGCACTGTGCGTACCCTGCAATGGGCTAGAGTCCCATTCAGAGCGTACCCTACCTTGTGTCCCTGCTGTTGCTGGGATAGACTCTGGCTCCCCTGTGACCCTGAACTGTTAGAAAATGACTGAGATAGTGACAGTATATCTCATGTGAGGAGTGAGGTCTCTTAAGGAAAGTGTAGTTGTACAGATTTGGAATGCTACCAAGGGTTCCAAGCAGTTTAAGGTCAATTTAAGGTGAGGATCCCAGTACTTCCTTGAGTTTTAATGAGAGTCTTGTCAAAGAAGACTTTTGTTTTAAAAAGCTGGCAGTGTAACACGAGTCAGCTGCTTTCTCTCCAGAAAGTGGGAAGTATTCCATTGGCCTCAAAGAAGGGACGTTGACTAGCACAAAACGCTTGAGCTTATTTTGTTGTGACCAAAGTTATAATACACATTGCTTCTCACTATTCTTTTAGTCAGAGTCAAAGTTAGAAACCAAAACTCTCACAGACAGAAGGGACAGTTCTTGAGGATCCATGGCTATGCTGGACATGTCTGACTGAAATCTGTGTAACTGTTTTTCTTCAGGGGTGGAAGGGAAGGCAGGGATGGCAGCCATCGCTGACGGAGATGGGCGCTTTGACCAGGAGCGTTTCTACAGGGAGATCCTGAAGGTGCTGCCCCCCTACGCCAGACCTGTGTTCCTGCGGATCTCCCCCCAAGTCGACACTACAGGTGAGGGAGAGCCTAGCAGCCACCCTCCTCCTTGGACTCCTATGGCAATGCAGGAAAGCGGAGGAAAGCTCATCAGGAGCTGGAACACTGGACTATCAAGGTTGTCCAACTATGTAGTTGCCAATAGTCTAGTATGGGAACAAGTAATAGGTTTATTCCATGCTGAAAAAAAGAAGAAAGAAAACACAATGTTTCTGCCGTGGAGCCTTCTTCAGGTGTGAGAGAGACAAGGCAGTAGGCAAAGGTAATGTAGTGGGAGAACAAAGGCTGGGAGAGAGGAGGAGCGAGAGGCGGGAGCAGGGGACAGAAAGAGAGGCCAATCAAGAGGTGTGAAGTCAGAATAGGTGTAGAGAGGTGTGAAATTA